TAAATATGACTACATGGCTTAGACAAGCTATGTTTGTATTGTAAGTGGAGAAAACATCAAAGTAACTTCTTACGCCTCCTACTGATACATACCTGTGCTAAAAGTACATATGATGGACAGCATTGTAAACCTCTGTGGGTCAGACATCAAATAATAAAACCGGTATAGACTAAGCAGTCAGACAAGGAAAGTATAAGGATGTGAATGAGTATTGTGACACTTTTCTTTGTACAGACTTGTGGTTTGTCTTGTCAGGCTGGTAAAGTCACCCAGCAAGTCCCAGAAGAATAAACTGCAGTGACTGTAAAATAAAGGTACAAATACACTAACTTACTGGTGGGAAAACAGGCCTCCCTCATTTTCTCTGTAGGACAACAAAAGGAAGAAAATCTAACAATTTGTTTACACACACACACACACACACACACACACACACACACACACACACAGAGAGAGAGAGAGATGGGACCACCAGATGTTCATGTTGGTGAATTAAGGAACAAATTGTTCAATCAAGGGCAGGATTGTTCCTTTTGTTAGAGTAAGCTGGGACTCCCCAGGTTACAGACCTCCTGTGTATGTTGACAGCGCATTAACCTTGATAATATCCGGTCAACAACTCATGACTGCATTGACTGAATTTTGAAAGAATTATGACAAAACAAGACAGGATGCCCTGTCCACCTGACACTTTTCTGATTTCACTGAATTTGTCTCCAAAACAAAACTTTCAATAAAATGCATCTGCAGTTAGATTAGGACACATCACACTGAGTCAGCATACAAACCAGTACAATACACAAGCCAGCCACTGAACACAAAATTAATTTAAAACATTTCTTGCACAGTAATAAACAATTTGCAATGTTTGTCTTGGTTATGATCCACTGAGGTCCTATTTAGTCAGAGAATCAGAAAATCACAGAGATAAAATGCCAAAAAGCATGGTTCCCACACATTCTTAACATCAGCCTTTGACCACATCCTCTGCTTGGGAATTATTAGCCCTACTACTACTTAATCTTTGGTTTTAAATAGAGTCACTGTCTGTTAAGCATCCAGTATTAATAGTTCTCTATAGACCATATTAAATCACACTGTAAGGAATAATAAGGGATCACGGAAGTCCCATTTATGTGGAACAACCACAGACCCCATAAAGCACATGTGTCAAACTCAAAGCCTGCGGGCCACATCCGGCCCAGCATACAATTACATCCGGCCTGCGAGATCATTATATGTATCTTTTTTTTAATGGCCTGGTGATATGAAGCGCTGATAACACACAAAGTACAAATCCCATAATGCAGCGCAACAGCTGCCTTACCGAACGATAGGCTACCTGCGATCATTCCCGCGTCAATTATGTCAGATCAATCAAGCGTCGCCTCTGTGGCCCCCGGTGCGATTGAGTTTGACACCCCTGCCGTAAAGGCAAAAAGACAAAAGGCATATAGACTTGGATTTCCAAGAGTTGTTGGATAGTCACTACAGTAACACACACACATACAATGACAGAAAAAAAAGGGGTGGCTTTAGATGTGATACAAAAACAGGAAACAGGGACTGTGGGTAATCTCCATGCTGCAGATCAAGCAAATGCATTGGTAAACATAAAAGGGGATTAGACCCTTGTGCCAGTCTAAGCACGTGTGTGCATGTCACTACTTCCCAATTATAAATGTACAGACTGATGTACTAATGAAGACATTCATTCATTCATTCAGTCATTTTCTACCGCTTAGTCCCTGAACGGGGTCACGGGGGGGGGGGGGGGCCGGAGCCAATCCCGGCCGGCAATCGGGCGAAGGCGGGGTACACCCTGGACAGGTCGCCAATCCATCGCAGGGCTAATGAAGACATAATTTCTCTTATCTTTCCATCTTAATCCAAAAGTCAACACATTTCTCTGAAACATTATGTCCGTACAGTCTGTGATCTTGACAAACAAAACTAGACAAAATTAGACAGCAGAGTTGTCAAAAGAACATGGCTCCTAACCTCTGATTGTCAACTAACCTGAACATTGACAAAGAGAGAGAACTTCTATGCACCTCTCAGACAAACGTTTCTCATTAATATCAGTCTGATTTTCTGCAGGTGATTCTTTCTCAATTCATTTGAGAGAGACTGCTGAAAAAAAGAAAATAACATAGCTAATTTTGCTAAACATATACTGGTCTGAATATGACTAGCAGTTTGTTACTACTTCATCTGATGCTTTTTTTGTAAACTGAAACTGAAAATTTGTGTGAGATTAAACCAAAACAATCAGCTGAAAGACATTAAAATGCTCCAAAGTACTGCGAGGAACTACAGGCTCAAGTAATAATCCTCTGTGGGTTCAACACTACGAGTGACAGCTTTCACATTATTCACATATTAATTTGATTGGTTCTTATTGTAAAATACTAATTATTGCAGCATTAATGACAGCACAGAAATTATATTTTTATTGATTTAGATTTAGAATTATATGTTTTTGCATGAATAAATACATACTTAACTACAATGAGTACATATAATTTTTGACTTTTAAAGATCCTCTCCATTTTAAGGCATATAAAAATACTCTGCTATGAAAAATATATAGTCAAACAAAGTTAAAAAAAAAAAGAAAACTCAATAAATCTCTGAAAAAGGACTGAAATCATGTGTGGTGTTTGCCCTTCATTGTGAAATCCTATGATTCATTAATATTCAAATATATCTAAATGACCCCAGGCATGACACACTGCCCACCACCACTGGCTGAGAGTTTGATAATATGTCCACATCTTGTTATTTTCTTAGTTGATCCAAAATGTAATTTAGTCACAGAGAACCGTGAGGCTGGGTAGTAGGCTAAGCATTAGCATTCAGGGAGCCAAACATAATACTACAATGGCACATGTCTCATTTCAACGAACATTAAATAGTAAATAAAAAAACTGTGGAAGGAAGTTCCGGGGTCTGGTTTACATCCAAGAACTGCTCACGCTGCCATATTTGCTGTCAAGAGATAAAACTTTCACCTTTGCTCCTGGTCACTGAGAAGTCAGTTCTGGCTGCTCTGAGGCTAGAGGTTTCAGGTTTCTCAACACACTCTTGAAATCTGCAGATATTTACAAGGTGGCTTCCAGGTTTGTAGTGTAATAGATTTTGTTTGCCCATGTATGTTAGAAACTCAGATTTCAGGGTAGCAAACAGACATCTGCCTCCTTCAGCAGAGGAACATAAAAATAGCCTGTTGGTCACAAACTAGGCACCTACATTAGCCAGTATAGTAGAGAGGGGATATTAATCAAGTATAGAAATAAGTTTAACTAATTTTTGACATTTTGGAGTAGAGGGATTTTTAAAAATCCTTTAAATTTCATTAGCTGCTATCTAATCCCTTTTCATTCACTTCTGCCAAAGAATTTAATGTATATGAGCACTGACATTTTAAGCCTTTGCATTTGCTATTGTGTAATTTCAGGAGCTGAATGTTCTTCTACTGTTTTACCTATTGCCACTCTGGTTTTCTGCATAAATTGGTCATGAAATGTGATCTGATCTTCTGATGGTGGAAGAAGGAAAGGCAACACCAGGCTTCTGATGAAAGGTCAATTGGAGTCAGGTGTTAGCAAACCTGGAATCCAATCAATGAAACAAGAATAGAGGTGTGGTTTAGAACTACCTTCACTTATAAAACACTCAAACAGTGTCAGTGTGCTATTCACAAGCAGTATCAGCTGATATGAGACATGCCTTGCAAAAAACACATCTCAGAAGAAATATGATCAAGAGTTGGTGATTTGCATGTAGCTGGAAAGGGTTACAGAGTCATCTCAGAGACTTTAGATATTCATCAGCCCACAGTTAGACATACTGTCAATAAATCGAGACAACTTGGTACCATGGCTACTCTCCACAGAAGTGGCCACCCAGCCAAGATCACTCTAAAGACACAATGCAAAATGTCCAGTGACCCTAGAGTAAAGACTTGAAGGATTCACTAGAGCTGGTTAACATCTTTGTTCATGAGTCAACCATATGCAACATATTGAACAGGTATGGTATCCATGGCAGGACATCATGGAGGAAGCTATTGCTTTCTATAAACAACATTGCAGCATGCCTGAAGTTTACCAAAGACCACCTTGACACTCCACAACAATACTAGGAAAAAGTCCTGTGGACAGATGAAACAAGGGTAGAATTGTTTGGGAAGAACACACAGCACTACGTATGGTGTAAAAAGAAAACTGCATACCGACATGAAAACATCATACCAACAGTGACATATGGTGGAGTGAGCATCATGATTCAGGGCTGCTTTGCTGCCTCTGGACCTGGACTGTTTGCCATTTTGGAGGGGAAAATGAATTCCCCAGTTTATCAAGGAATCCTACAGGATAATGTCAGGGTGGCTGTCGGCAAGCTGAAGCTCAGAACAAGCTGGGTGATGCAACAGGACATTGACCCTAAACATCGAAGTAAATCTACTACAGAATGGCTTTGAAGACACAACATCTGCCTTTTGGAGTGGCCTAGTCAGATCCCAGACCTCAGCCCAAACGAGATGCTGTAGAATGATGTCAAGAGGGCCGCTCACACCAGACATCCTAAGAATATGGCTGAGCTGATGCAGTTCTGTGAGAAAGAATGGTCCAGACTTCCTCCTGAATGTTGTGCAGGTCAGGGTTACAGGAAACACTTGCTTGAGGATATTACTGCCAAAGGTGGTTCAGCCAGTTATTAAAACACTGCTTCCATTACTTTTTCCACCATCACTTTGTATGTTTAATGGGTGTGTTCAATAAAGATATGAAAGATCATGACTGTTTGTGTTTTAATAGCTTAGCTTGTGTTTGTTGATATTTGTGACTTTGGTAAAGATCAGATCACATTTCAAGACCAATTTGTGCAGAAAACCACCAAAGTGCAAACAGTGCCATTACTTTTTCTTGCAACTATCAACTGATCACTTAAAATAAAAAAAAGTCAAGTATACAGTAAGGCAAGGATCCACTCACCATTAGAAGGGTCACAATTCTCAAGTCTCAGATTGGCATTTGTTAGACTAGAACTAGTTTGATGTAGTCCATTGCCGATACTTTTCTTCCTCCGGCTGCCCTTTAACCAACTGAAGGCCTGTCCCAGGGAGTTTCCTGGCTTCCTCTGCCCACGCTGAGCCCTCACCTCCCGGGCTAAGATCTCAGTGATGTCCCTGGGCACCAAGTCACCTGTAGACCTCCTCCGGGACATCCTAGAGGTTGGTCCTGGGAACTGAGGAGTTGTATGTCCACCTGGATTAGTGTTTCTTCGATCAGAAACAAGTCACACAATTTGAAATCTTCCCTCCTTTGGCCTCATTCAGTGTCTCAGTTTTTCCTTTCTGTCACCACCTGGGACAACAATGAGATCCACAGGATCAGAGAGAGCAAGATGGAAAGCAGAAACTAAAACTGTGTGATATGAGGCAGCAAATACAAGATGAAGAAAAGATAAGAATGACTAGGGAGTTTAACTGGAGAAGTCAGTCACGTAGGAGCATTACAAAATAAACAAAAAGGTAAAACAAGATTTGAAAATTAGAGCAGAATAGGGGATAAAAAGAGACAATGTACCAGTCTAACCATTAACAATATCAAGACCATTGTGACATTGTCTTACTAAAGTTTTTCCTTTATTTGTCCACCCACGCTCTGCCCTTTTCTATTCTCTCATTTTTGTGTATTTAGAGGAGAGGCCTCAGGGAGGAGAGCTGGACCTCTGCTGCGTCTGTGTATGTGTGTGCATGCATGTGTGACATGTGGTTCACATCAGCAGAAAAGTGTGTTAGGGTGAGTTACAAAAGAGAAAGGAGCTTAATTCAATAAAAAAGTGGTGGAAAATACTTTGGATGCATACTTTTTACTTCATAAAGACATACAGAGAACACAAAGAAACACACATGCAGTTCTACATAGTGTTATTTTAGCAAACAATGCAAAATCTATGCGGTAAAATGGTTAGGCATAGTCATCTACAACTTACTCAGCGAGCGTGCTGTCCTCTCCTCCGCTCCCCTCTTTTCTCTCAGCCTGAGAACAGCCTTGCAAAGCGTGTGTGTGTGTTTAACAGGGTGAATGAAGCTCCATGCTCTCTTAACAGTCAGTCCCTCCCTCTGTGTGATTGCCAGCCTGTCCTCCCACCTCTCACAGTGCTGTTAGGAGTTAGCCACACCAGTCCAGTCACTTCTCCTCACATTCCAAACTGCTGGGATTTACCATTTTATGTTGGGTTTTTGCTATTATTGGTATATAGTTGGTGTTCCTTTTGACTTTTCGAGAAACAGGCGTAGTCCTTCAAGATAGTAGCCCCTGGGTAACAAAGTGTCGTGGCAGCTAGGAAAGAATCCAAAAATACACATATTGGATTGGTGTAATCCTTGTGTAGCTTTCACAGAGGGGGCAGGTGGAATTTCTTTCCTAAAAGTAAAATATGCATATACAGTATATGATATACATATATATTAAAAAGAAGTCTCCTGGGAAACTGCTGAACAGTCCAGTGTTGGCACGTGGCCTTGCAAGGTGAAAAGGTTCCGCTGTCTTTCTGCAGATAAAAAGGAGTGGCTCTTTTCTGTCACTGTGCAGCCAGGTGGAAACCCAATACCCCTTATTACACATGACACACACACACACAATTAGACTAGGTAGGGTGAGTCACAAGGGGCCAGTTCTCTTTAGTTATACTCACCCTCAACATACTGTACACTAGACGCCACTGAAATCTGAAGTAAATTTCAAATTGTACTGTGGTGGGAACGAGACAAGCTGACCACTGTAAGTGTAGGTAAACGGGTGGTGGTAGACACTCGTCAGAAGTAGGTGGAGTGCATGTGTGTGTGTGTGTGTGTGTGTAAAGGGACTGGCTCATGTGGTCTGAATACTGAACGGACCGACTGAGGTAAGGAAGTGGAAGCAGAAGTGGACAAGGAGGAGGTGGTGTCACAGTCTTGGAGGAACAGACTGAGACACAGTTGTGAGCACAATTTGTTCATTAACAACTAGGGATGGGCAATGATTTACAAATATTCAAATAGTCATTAAATTTAAGAAACATCTAATATTTCATGTGACTATAGTTTTGTCTTTAAAAACAAAGAGCCACTGTTTTGCCTCACTTTTCCCAGCACCTGGAAATCGCACGATAACAAGGTCAGTATATCAATTTACTACAGCGTCAAATACAAACAGCAGAAACATGCAGCAAGTACAGCCATCAAAAGGTTCTGTGTAGAACTTCTTCAAGAACATAAACGAAAATGAGGTGCAGTGCAAACTCTGCCAGGTTAAGTTAGCATGTCATAAATAGACAACAACTATGCTCAGCCATTTGAATGTGAAGCATCCAGCAGAAAGTGGGGCGTGGTCTGCAGATCAAAAGGTCAGTGGCTTTGTCACCTGAAGAAGGAAGTTGGATGATCAGCAGAGCAAATAACAGCTCCCATCAGAAAGATGATAGCAAAGGACATGCTAACCATTAACTTCGTCGAGGAAGAGGGTTTTTGAAGTTTGATGGCATTTGTTCAGCTGGAGTAAATGGTCCCATCAAGAAAAACGGTCATAGCACGATAGGATAAACTGTATGACGATAATGCATGTGAACTGTGCAGTCATTTGACAGGTGTTGAAAAGGTGTCTCTGACCATGGTTGCATGGACAGCGCTTACAACTGAATTGTATGTGAAAGTTACCTGCCATTATATAAACAACTGGAAAATATAGAGAGCTGTTCTTCAGACTAAAGCAATGTTGTAGCAGCATACTGCTGAAAACCTGGCAAATGTGCTTTCCATGCCACGGAACACTGGGGAGTTACAGGTAAAGTCACAGCATGCATACATGACAACACTAACAATATAGTACTATATAGGTGGGGGTGGGGGGGGCGATGTATTGTCTTTCACATTCACAAGGTCTGCTTCTTCTACAGTCAGTTTGAGTGACTGTCTTCTTTTAGCTCCTGTGATGAGGCAGCCAAATTACACAACTGTTGGGATTCTTGGACTAATTCTGGCACACAAACTGAGGATATCAGTCAGAATTCAGAAAAAAGTTAATATCTTTGTGCGTGGTGAGGTTTGGACTAGTGGTTTGTGTGTGTGTGTGTGAGTATGAGGTCGGGGGAATCCATGCTGTATGCGTGTACTGATGTGTCGGGAGGGGTTAAAATGAGTCATAGATTAATTTACTTGTGCCTAACAGACTGAAATGTTTTAATGCTGCCATGGTGATATAGAAAAAAACAGCCACTCTCAGTATGTCTGTGAGAGAGCTGCAGAGTGTCTGTAAATGTGTGTGTGCAGTAAGAGGTACAACATTATTTACCACTAGAACACTATGAGCCAGCTGGGGAATGCATCGCCAGTCCTCCCTACTCTGCTTTCTTCAGTTGGTGTCGTTCTTCATCTTTTCTTTTCTATCTTAACTGTTAAACTAGCTACACTGGCTAATGCATATATTTTTACATGCACACTCTATCCTCTTCCCAGCCTTCCAGCAGGAGATGAGATCACAGAAGGTGTTACAGAAATGTAAATACCTTTGTTATGAAGGAACATTATGGTTGTAGACTAAGATATAGGCTAGACAAGGTCATGAGACTCCTTAGCAAGTTTTGGTTCCATTTCTTATTTTGTTTAAAAAAAAAAAAAGTATGTCATTGGTGAAGGAATACAGAAATGCAGCGATTTTGTTTATTTATTGATACAGGATTATAGAAACATACAGGATCCTGCTACGCATAAGTAATAAAAATTCCAGTAAATGAGGCATACTGTGGATACTGGAATACTGTGTTTCTTAAATTTAACCATTGCTTAAAATAATTTCAAGCAGTCTAAAGACATCCAAACAATAGCAAGCACAAGCAGCCTATGGCATCTCACAAGTGGGATATATTAAGACAATGACTTTTACAATATTGGAATATGTCATGATGTAACAAATTTTTAGGGAATTCAATTAATGTCTTGCAGGTATTTGGTCATGAACAAAGTAATAAAAATAGTGAGCAAATTACAAATTTGACCTGATTATTAACAGAAGTTATTAGAACTGATCTTGTGGAGAACATGGGTTTGTTACCAAAGTACAACACAATTTGCTCAAAATCAAAACCATCTGGTGGCACTAGAGGAAAAGCCAGATAATCACTAAAGTTATTAGGAATCATCCTCTGCATACAATGAATGTCTGATCCAGTAGTTGTTGAGATATTTCAGTCTGGACCAAAATGACTGACCTACATTGCCACCCATAGAGACATGTTGTTGGCAGCATACATCAGCATGCATTAAAATTGTCTGAAGAGTCATGCTCACGAATGTGTAACATTGTTCACAAGGTCCAGTATAACCGGTAATAAAGCATTAGCAAGGTCAGTGTAAAGGATCTAACCCAATTTTGATCATGTCACAGTATATCTCATCATATCGCCAACCTTTGACTAGTAGTAACATGAAATTGTGGCCTTAAAAATATACAAGTAACAAAGAAGTATCTGCACTAGGCAGAAGCATCGAGACTGTCCAACCACACAGTACTATAAAGGGCACTAAAACAGGAACAACAGCTACGTGAACTTTTAACCCAATGACGTGTACACATGAATTTCACTGTGTTGAATGGGGCTGAAAGGAGGCTGCAGGCAGGAAATCCATACTGCTGGTTGGGATAAGCCCAGCTCTTTTGGACCAGCATTAGCATTCTCAACCTGCCTTTATCCTATGACAGGCACATTTTTTCTGCATCAAATGCTTCTCTCTTGTTCCATTTCTCAAAACCATACAACACAGAAACCAAAAAAAAAAAGAACAAACCTGGTCTCAGTTGCTGTAATTTGTTTTATTCTGTTGGTTTTTACCATGAATTTATCTTCTAGAAACACATTTTTAAGAATAAATGAGGGCAAAACTCTCCAAAACGACATTCCACAGTTCACTATTTACAGTATAATATCACCCAACTGGGAAGATGGAAGGGGTGGAAAAGGAGCTGAGAGAAAAAGGGAAATGAGGACAGAGAGAGAATCTTGGCATGCAATAATAGTTTTAAAGTGAAAAGCTAGAAGTTTCAATTAGATACTCAGCTATGAAACACACAGGGAATTTCTTTGTGCAACAGAGACAGCTTTGTCTCACTAGCCAATGACTAGAATTGATGTTACAGAATGCTGGTAGTAACATTCTGGTAGAAAAACGGGTATGGAATGAGGAAAGGACAAAATATAAGCCAAAGTAGTTCAAGAGTGAAGAAGTGGAAGAGAAAACAGGAGGTAAAAACTACTTTCTGACCCCCACTGCACTCATGTTTTTCCTGTCCAGGCATGTTGCTGCCCTTCCTTTTGGATGAAGGCACTCACTGTCCCTACCACATTCCTCGAGCCTACCTCAGACAGACACACAAAATGACTAGGTTATAAGGTTGTAAGAGCAGGAAACCAGTTTCCATATGATTCCTTCATTAGTAAAAGGAAGAAAGTAGAAGAAACATTGCTGAGTCATGTCTCTGTTGAGTGGGTTAAATGAGAAGATGAGGAAAGAGAAAATTGAAATTAAAAACCTGAAACTGAAGCTGTATGTTAGGATTGCACCCAACGCCCCCCGACCTGGCTGGTGGAGACTGGGAGGATGAGGTAGAGTATGGTCCGGAGATAGCTGTCTATAGCCGTGGTGGTGAGAAGGGCCTGGCTGGGTGTAGCGGTAGCTGGTGGAGGACAGAGGGGACTGGAAGATACGGGTTTAATCGGAGAAACACGAAAAACAGGGTGAATGCGGAGGGAGTCAGGCAGTGTATGATTTCCTGGATGGTAAAAGGCCCCAGGAACCAAAGAGAGAGTTTGGGGCATGCCCCTTTGATGGGTATGTGAGCAGCCGAGAGCCATACCTGTTGCCCAACCTGGTAAGTAGGAGCGTCCCGATGGCGGCGATCAGTGAGGCGTTTATTTTGTTCCACCGTACGCAACAGTGTGGCCCTGGTTTCAGCCCAGACTTTATGACAACAGGTTATATGGGCTTGGACGGAGGGAACGGCGATGTCGCTGTCAGCGGCGAAGAGGAGAGGGGGTTGGTAACCAAGAGAAGCCTGGTAGGGAGAG